GCCTGTGCTCGCCAGAGACAGAGAGACAGAAAGCAAGAAATCACCCCCGGGGGGGATGTCCATGCCACAATCCCTTCTCCTCCATTCTCCTCTTGGGATCTTGGCAAGCACGCACACGCACCCGGCGTGAGTTTTAAGCCACTGGGTCCGGCACGCGAACCGCGGTTGACTACATGGAGTAGTGACATAGCTATTACGCTAACTACTGGTCCCATTTGCCCACCACTGTTGAGTGCCAGGGTCATCACGGTCAGTGACCATCCTTATTTCTACCCTTTATTTATTTCTAAGGGGTATATCCACTTACCAGAGAAAAATAGGGTGAGGAGAAAGAAACCTCTTCCCCAACTGTGGAATGGTCACATGGCAGTTCCTTCTCTTCCATTTTTAGGGATGCATGCAAATGCACTCAGCATGTTTTTTTTTGAGAGGTTTTTGCTATAGGGCGTGTACACTTGCCAGAGAGACAGAAAGTAAGAAATCACACCCCCCAGGGGGATGGCCACACCACAATCCCTTTTCCTCCATTCTCCTTTATGGGATCTTGGGCATGCATGCACACGTGCCCAGCGTGAGTTTAAGCCACCTGGTCTGGGACTCGAACCACAGTCGACTACATCAAAGTCCAGCGACATAGCCATTAGGCCAACTGCTGGTCCTGTTCAACATGTTTTTTAAGCAGCCAGGCCCGGGACTTGAACTGCACTGTTGCCATGTGGGATCCAGCTGCCTTAACCACCAGGCCATGGAACCAGACCCTCTTAATTTCTATCTTTTCCTACTTATTCTGGATACCTTTTGACTTCTGACCCAGGGCTGTTTTTTTCCCACTGGTAGGGCTTTCTATTACTCCTTTGCAATATTCTCCAATATTGCATTATATTAATGTGTTGTAAATGTGTACATATCCTTATATAGTTCTTGAAAACCAGTTACATTTTTAATCAGATTTTTCTGGGTCACATTTCTACATAGTATTCTTCTATCAGCATCTGCCAGCCAAGACCCTGATTGCCTCTTCTCTTTGCAGTATTCCCCATTCTTAAGTCTTTGTCCCTTCCGAGACCTCCTTTCTGTGACTCTTACATTTCAGTACTATGTAGTAGCCCCTTTTTTTTTTTTTTTTGGAGAGGTTTTCACTATAGGTCGTGTGTGCTCGCCACACAGAGAGAGACATAGAGACATAGAGACAGAAAGCGAGAAATCACCCCCCAGGGGGGATGGTCACGCCGCAATCCCTTCTCCATTCTCCTCTCGGGATCTTAGGCACACACACACACGTGCCTGGCGTGAGTTTTAAGCCACCGGGTCCGGGACATGAACCATGATCACCCACGTGGGAGTTCCCTAGTAGCCCTTTCTTTAAACGGATCTTAGCTCTGTCCTGCTAACAACCCTGTGGATTCAATCCTGTATATACTAGACACACATTTGTGATAGGGTTGCCTCTTCTTACCAGTTAACAGTATTTACCATGAACAGTTTTTTGGTTTTTTTTGTTTTTTTTTTTTTTTTGCTTTTAGGTTATTCCCGTGGAGTGGAGGATGAAGAGGCACCTTTTGAGCAAAGCATTTCTGTAGGAGTGTCAAGTGTTAGTACTTGCAATACAGGTTTATCTGTCCAAGCAGCTCATACTTGTGACACATGTGGCCCTGTCTTGAAAGACATTTTGCCTCTTCCTGAACCCCAGGGACCACATTGTGGACTGAAACCTTACTCATGTGGTGCATGTGGGAAACAATTCTGGTTCAGTGCAAACTTTTATCAGCACCAGGAGCATTACAATTCTGTAGAGACATTCTTAAGAGACAAAGGCAAGGCCTCATTTGTGAAGAACTAGAGAGTTTGTGAAGAACCTCATCTGTCAGAGAAATTCTTTATATATGAAGAAGAGCAAAAAGACTTCCAGGCCAATTTGGGTAGTCATCGGCAGAAGGCCATCCATAGCAAGAGGAAGACTCTCAGGAACACTCAAGTGGGAAGGCCTTTCATGTGGGACAAATGCATTACAGGTGCAGTGAATGTGATAAAGCATTCAACCGCAAAGATACACTTGTCCAGCACCAGAGAATCCATAGTGGAGAAAAGCCTTATGAATGTAGTGAATGTAGGAAAGCCTTCAGCCGCAAAGCCACACTTGTTCAGCATCAAAGAATCCACACTGGAGAAAGGCCTTATGAGTGTAATGAATGTGGAAAAACCTTCAGTCGAAAAGACAACCTTACTCAGCACAAAAGAATCCACACTGGAGAAATGCCTTATAAGTGCAGTGAATGTGGGAAATACTTTAGCCATCACTCCAACCTAATTGTACACCAGAGAGTTCACAATGGAGCAAGGCCTTATAAGTGCAACAATTGTGGGAAGGTCTTCAGGCATAAATCCACACTCGTTCAGCATGAGAGTATTCACACTGGAGAAAATCCTTATGATTGCAGTGATTGTGGGAAATCCTTTGGTCACAAATACACCCTCATTAAACATCAGAGAATACACACTGAGGCAAAGCCTTTTGCATGCATTGAATGTGGGAAATTCTTTAGTAGAAGCTCTGACTTTATTGCACACCAGAGGGTTCACACTGGTGAAAGGCCTTTTGTGTGCAGCAAATGTGGAAAAGACTTCATTAGAACTTCCCATCTTGTTCGACACCAAAGAGTTCACACTGGAGAAAGGCCATACGAATGCAGTGAATGTGGAAAAGCCTATAGCTTAAGCTCCCACCTCATTCGGCACCAGAAAGTTCACACTGCAGGCAGGCTTTAGGAGTGATTTTTTTTTTTTCAATTTTTTTTTTAATTTGCCAGAAGGTATGTGCACTCACTGGGGAGAGACAGGTGGAGTTAGAATTGAAGCACCCCCTATGGGGCATGGTCACACTGTAATCCCTTCTCAATTTCTTCTTCCCTTTGGGATTTTGTGCATGCATGTACTTGCACCATGTGTTTCTTAAACTGCCAGGTCCAGGACTCAAACTTCATCATCAGGATCCAGCTGACTTAACCACCAGGCCATGAGCTAGCTGAAGAGCGCATTTTTTTTTTTTTTTGAGAGTTTTTTTGCTATAGGGTGTGTGCGCTTGCCAGAGAGACAGCAAGAAGTCACCCCCCAGGGAGGATGGCTGCACCACAGTCCCTTCTCCATTCTCTTGGGATCTTAGACACGCACGTGCCTGGCAGGAGTTTAAGCTACCGGGTCCAGGACTTGAATGGTCGACTATGTAGGAGTCCAGCAACATAGCCATTACACTAACTGCTGGTCCCTAAACAGATTTTTGTTATAGGGTACATATTCTTGCTGGAGAGAGAGAGAGAGAGAGAGAAACAAAGCGAGAAGTCACCCCTTGGAGGGATGGCCATGCCACAATCCCTTCTCCATTCTCCTCTTGGGATTTTGGGCACAAAATGCACACATGCCTACATGAGGTTTAAGCCGCCAGATCCAGGACTCAAACTGCAATCAACTATGTGGGAGTCTAGTGATGTAACCATTATGCCATCTGCTTGTCCCCAGGAGTGCTTTCACTATAACAAGACTTGTTAGTTAGATATTAAATTTATCTGGACATTTACATTGGAGAAATGTATGAGCGCCAGGGGCTGTGTTGCACTTTGTAACTTGTTCCTGTTCCTTATGGGAGTTATGTTACTGTAATCCCTGTGGCTGAAACCATTTTAACTCTACCAGCCTAGCCAACCCAACATCCTCAAGGAAGACAGGACTTCGTATTGTCTCCAATTTTTGGAGGGAATCATGAGACACTTTTGTTCGTTGGTGTTCTTCATTCACTCCCCTCTGACTGGTATAGGTGTGGATATGACCCATCTTTAGCCTAAAGGGCCTGAGTTGTGTTCTTCTGGTGGTTTTTAGAGAAGAATTATTTTCTTCATGGACATTTTTGGTCTTGTGTGATACTTGTGATGGATTTTTCTAGCCTCCCAAGTTCTACTTGGGAACATACTTACATTATGTTTTTCTGCTTTATGATAATAAAGACTTTGTACTTCAATGCATCTTTAATCTTGGCAGTTCTTTTCAGTGTCTGAAGTGGGTTGAAGACAAACTCTGCCAAACTGAAGAGGTTAGTACTTTATGGGGGCCTCCAACTTTGTGTGCATCAGTTGGGATGGGACAGTGGGTTAGTGGAGAATGGTCCCCAGTCCAGTTTGGTGTTAACTTTCATTGCTGACAGAAGCTTCATAGGTAAGAATTCAGTCTGTGGCATGATTAGATTTCAAATTTGAGCCCATATATCACCTTGAGTATGTTGATGCTGTCAGTTTGTTTGGGAGCAGCATGGATTAGGTGTCTTGTTTTCGGCATAAGTCACATATTCACCAGCCGTTGAGGTGAAGCAGTTCCTCAGGACCTATGCAGTGGCCATGTTCCCTAAAGGACAGAGTTGAATACACAGGTCACTGGCTATAAGACCTAATGTGGCAGGAGGGAAAGAAAACACAGAAACAGTATGACTAATTGGGATTGGGGGAGACTACAGCAAACTAGAAGGGAAGTACCTGTTGTGAAAATACCCACAGATATTCCAGTCACATGGTTATAGGGGATCAGAGTGTACACAAGTTCTCAGGACCTCCAGAGTTGTGTTACATGTAGAGCCAAGATTACTGGCAGCAAAAAGTGTAGCTTTCCTGGATTTGTGTCACCAGACTCTACCTATAATTTTTGCTCCACAGTCAGAAGCCTGGAGTTTAGAGAAATACTGTGGTCAAAGGATGTAACTTTGTGATCAGAGTTCCTGGTGACTTAGAAACGACTTTTATTGGTTGCCAGTTTTTCTTGCTGCTGAGGAAGAGGTGATCTTTCTATGGCCTTTGAAGTAACTAACTTATTGATGTCTAGTCATATAGTTTTCCAATAGCAGTGAAGACCCAGGTTTTTTTTTTAAGAGATTTTTGCTGGAACCAGCAGATGGAGTAATGGCTATGTCACTGGACTCCCATGTAGTTGACTGCAGTTGAAGTCCTGGTCCCGGTATACCCAAGATCCTGAGAGGTGAATGGAGAAGGGATTGCAGTGTGGCCACCCCACCCCACCCCCGCCCCGGGGAGTGATTTTTTTTTTGTCTGTCTGTCTCTGTCTCTCTCTCTCTCTTTCTAGTGAGCACACAAGCCCTATACCAAAACCTCTCCAAAAAAAAAAAAAAGATTTTTACTGTAGGGCACATGCACTTACTGGAGATGGTAAGCAAGAAATCCCTCCTAGGGGAATGACCATGCTGCAATCCCTTCTCCATTTTTCTCTCAGGATCTTGGGCACACAGGCACACACACCCAGCATGAATTTTAAGTCACCAGGTCTGTGACTTGCACCACTGTTGATTACATGGGAGTCCAATGACGTAACCATTATGCCATCTGCAGGTCCCAAGACCCAGATTTCTAAATGTAATCATTTTTGTAGTTTCACTGAGGTGTAATCATGGAATACACTGCATATACTTAAGTGTACAATTTGGCAATTTTTTTTTCAATTTGGTAAATTTGATACATGCCTGTGTTATCTTGCCCACCTTCATAACTGCTCTCATTACCCTTCCTAGGACTCCCCTCAATAACCAGGTAGTCATTGATTAATTTTTGCTATAGAGGGACCAGCAGATGGCATAATGGTTATTTCACTAGACTCCCATGTAGTCAACCACAGTTCGAGTCCTGGACTTGGTGGCTTAAAACTTGCCAGGTGGGTATGCATGCATGTCCAAGATACTGAGAAGACAATGGAGGAAAAGGGATTGCAGCATGGACATCCCCCCTGTGGGGACAATTGTTTGCTTTCTGTCTCTTTGTCTCTGGTGAGCGCACATGTCCTGTAACAAAAGTCTCTTCAGAAAAAAAAAAAATCACTATAGATAAAATTGCCTTTTCTAGAATTGTATGATAGTCTATAAAGTGTCCTTTTTTTTTGTCTGCTGTCTGTCATGCAATATAACCATATTTTGAGATTTGTCCAGGTTGTACATGTGAATAGCTTATTTCTTTATTGAGTAGCATTCTACTGTATAGATACACCATAGTTTATCCATTTATCTTACTTGGCATTTGGGTGTTCCTCATTTCTAAATACTAAAAGGAAAGCTACTAAAAATACTCATGTATAAGACTTTATGTGGACATTTAGCTGGGGATATTTTTTTGAGAGGTTTTAGTTACAGGACGCGTGCACTCTCTTGAAAGATAGACAGAAATCAAGAAATCGGGGACCAGCAGTTAGTGTAATGGCTATGTCGCTGGACTTCCATGTAGTTGACCATGGTTCGAGTCCTGGACCCAGTGGCTTAAATTCACGCCAGGCATGTGTGTGTGCGTGCCCAAGATCCCAAGAGGTGAAAGGAGGGGAAGAGATTGCAGTGTGGCCATTCCCCCCAGGGGATGATTTCTCGCTTTCTGTCTCTCAGTCTTTCTGGCAAGCACATGTGCCCTATAGCAAAAACCTCTCAAAAAAGAAAAAGAAAAAAAAAAATCAAGAAATCACTCCCCAGAGGGGATGGCCACACTGCAATCCCTTCTCCATTCTCCTCTTGGGATCTTGGGCACATGCACACACGCCTGGTGTGAGTTTAAGCCACCAGGTCCAGGACAAAACCCTAAGCCAACTACATATGGGAGTCCAGTGACATAGCCATTATGCCAACTGCTGGTCCCTAACCTGAAGATACTTTTTTAAACAAGTGTTATTACTAATTATAGTAAAATGTGTGTTAGAGAAGAGATTAAAAATATATATGTAAATATAAAAATACATATAAAATATGTATGAATATGTGTGTGTGTGTGTGTACACACATATTCATAATGTATATGGGCCAGCAGGTGAAATGGTGATTGGGGCACTGGACTACCACGTGGTCAACCATGGTTCGAGTCCTGGACCTGGCAGTTTGCTCTCTCACTTTCTCGCTCCCTCTTGCTCTTGCTCTCACTCTCTGGTCAAATAAATAAATAAATAAATAAATAAAATAATTCTTTTAAAAATTATTTAAAATAATTTAAAAATAAATAATTACAAATATATAATGATATAAAAGGGAAAAAAAAATTAACGCCATGTGCATGCATGCCCGAGATCTTAGGAGAATGGAGAAGTGATTGTGATGTGGCCATCCCCCTTGGAGGGTGGGTGATTTTGCACTTTACCTCTCACTGCGTCTGTCTTGTCTCTCCAGTGAGCACAAATGCTCTAAGGCAAAAACTTCTAAAATAAATTAAAATAGAAGTTTATTCATTATTTATTTGAGAGAGAAAGAAACACACTCCAAATCCACCCCCAGTCTCAGCCAGCCTAGATGTTGGGCAAGCACATGTGCATGGCATGCTCAGGGAAGTGCTGGGGTGTGAACCCAGGATCTTTCCCCATGTGAGCCTGTTGGCATTAACACTGTGCCATCCTGTGACCCCAATTTACTATTTACTATCTTAACTGATTCAAATCCCATCCTTTTCCTCACTCAAACCATGCTCTTCTTTTCCATAGAACACATCACATTATAATTTACTATGTAACTTAGTACCATTGTTAATGCTTATCACCTTTCCTTCAGCTATTTACACAATATTTACCAAAAAATAAATAAAAGACATACAGAGATTGTGACGGGTTGCTGGTGCTCTGGGACAAATCTTACCTGAGAAGCCCAGGGGAAGAGAAAAGAAAAAAGAGGGAATGGCTCTTTCCCAGGGGCTGTTTACATTCAGAGATGTAGCCATAGAATTCTCTCAGGAGGAGTGGGAATGCTTAGATCCTGCTCAGAGGGCCTTGTACAGGGATGTCATGTTGGAGAACTACAGGAACCTGGTCTCCCTGAATATTTCTGCTG